TAGGCTTTATAGCACATTTTGAATATTAGAGAAAGATGAGCAATAAGAATAAGTTACTTTTCTTAATATTGCTGTTGGATCTAATAAAATTAATATTCTACTATTTAAGTTTTATTATGTATTCTAATTCCTAGTTCATAATATGCAAGTGAAATTTTTCTGGGAATCTTAGCAACAATGAAGATTCTTTTTAATAAAAACTACAATCTTTCAAAATTAACGGGCACTAAAATACAAAAATGAATCACTGTAAGTCTACAAAAAGTATTTGGCAAAACTTATTATTATTGGATTGATGCAAAATTAACGACCGTTTTCATTGATTCTAAATTTATTCAACAATACAATACCAAAGTACACTCAAAACATGTTTAAATGATCATTCTAGAGCATAATCGCCATCTACTTCAATAACTGCTTCCCATTTGCTTGGCAAACGATCGATTCCACATGCAAAAAAGTGACGATCCTTGGATGCAATCCACGCTTTGACGTCAGCGACAAAGGATGGGAACTGCTTGAGCACCCACCATATTCTCCCACTGAAGCTCCTACAGACTATCACGTCAATTGTCCGCTCAAAAATCGGCAGACGGGCAAAGTCTACGATGATTTTGACGATCTTGCCGCTGACGTCAAAGCGTGGATTGCATCCAAGGATCGTCACTTTTTTGCACGTGGAATCGATCGTTTGCCAAGCAAATGGGACGCAGTTATTGAAGTAAATGGCGATTATGCTCCAGAATGATCATTTAAACATGTTTTGAGTGTACTTTGGTGTTGTATTGTTGAATAAATTTAGAATTAATGAAAACGGTCGTTAATTTTGCATCAACCCAATATATTCAAATAAGAGTCTATCGATTTTCTTTTAGAAGAATTAGTGAAATGACAAGACTTACATTGTTTCGAATATTTTCAGTCATCATTTGACTCAAATTTAAATCTAATCGATGTGCATTGACGATAATTGGTGCATTGTTATCCGTGATGTTCAATTTCGAATGTAGAATTGTACCCTGTTGGTTAGAATAATCAAAGCTATCTAGGAAGATGGGTATAGAATAGAGATGAAATTTTCGGTCATAATCGTCGTCTACATAGTCACATTTAACAAACCACTGTTTGATTTCAAGCCAGAATGGTGTTTGAAATGGTGCAATCAATGATTCTACAGTGTTACGCTCTGCATGATCATGTACAGGGCGAGTAAACCAGAATTCGAACTTGCTCAATAGAGGTAATTTCATTTCAATAAAATTTTCCCATCGAGAACCATCAAACAATGAAAGCTCCCATAAATCTGTTTCGCCCATAAGTCGAAGATGTGTTAGCCTAGATAAAAGTGAAAGGAATGATTCAACAATGTACATCGTTATATAAGAACCGCTGTTTAAAGAGAGCGAAGTTAAGTGGCTGAACTGTTTGACATGAGAAAGTGTAACTCCAGTCTCATCGATTTGATTCTCATAAACATCTTTCAGAACCAATGTTTGTAGATGAGGCAATTGACCAAGAATAGAGTAAACTGTGTTCCAACTGCATCTACATACAATTGTCAAATGCTCCAATCTACATGAAACGGGCCATTGTATTTCATAGAGAGCATTCTCGCTTCCATCGAATTCGAATTTAGCAAGATCATTGTGCGATATAATTGATGATAACGAAGTGCTTATATTGCTGTTATAATATTCATCTGATGAAATTGAGAATGTTTTAAGGAAATATTTCATGATATATTTTTGAACTTCAGCCAAATCTTGATAGTTTATATAGAAGAGAGTCAGTGAATGTAGTCGAATAAATTGGTCAATATGAAAATGAGAAAGAAAGAATCCAATTTGTCCATAGTTCTCGAATTCATCCGAAAGCGTAAGTGAAATAATATTCTCAGGATTAATAATACGTGCCATGACAGATATATTGGATTTTGTTAAATAACGGAAGTCTAGTTCGTAGCGATTATAAGAATTAACAATCGAATAGAGCTGTTTACACACACGACGAATTGAAAAGACAATGGTCTCTGTATTGAGATCATCGAAAATTTGATGAACAAGTTCAATAGGTAATATTTGAAGATAAGATTTCTTTTTAATAGACATGAGTTGTCGTACACAAAATGTGTATGTGTAATATGTGTTATTTTGTCAACTATACGTCCCAATTGTGCAATCACTTGAAATGTGAATATTTTGCAAGATGACAGATGTCTCTAAAATAAAAAAAGCACGTGTACGATTATCTATTGGTCGAAATATAGAGACCGTAATCAAATATAACACACAGAGTCATCCTCCGAATTAGTACGTAGCCTGATGGCAAAAAAGTAATGGACAAACACCAATCAATGTCGAATACACTATGTGTGGCAACACCTAGGGTGAGACTCATTTTTGGAAGCTCTTATTTATAGCATATGAAGTGCATCACTAATAAAGGCTATTTATGAAGTCAAGTTCTTCTGACCCAATATAATCATGGAACTAAACCGAAATAAAAGCATTGATTTACTGACATCTTTCGCGTCCATTCATTCTCACACAATTTGATAATACTATAATCGAATTCCGCATGTAGTGTAGCGCCATCATCTAGGTGAGAATCACTTTTTTCAAAAACAAAATATGCAGGTAAATATATCTGTTATTTCTATACGTTTTTATCAAATTTGTTTTTTCTAACCCTTCAGTTCGGACTAAGTGCATTCGTGGATATCGATTTCTACATTGATTGAATGACTCATGCATATATGTGCATAGACTAAATGTTTCAAAATGAAAATATAATAAAGTAATTTAAACGTTTAGCAAAATTATATTTTTTCGGTCTCAAACTTAGACAGAAAGAGGATTGTTTGATTGCTTCTTCTTCTGAAACGATTTTCTATTATTTTATCAACATAGTTGAATGTTTGCTAGTAGACACTATCAACGGCGGCGGAACGATTTCAATCTAGGGGAGGCTCAAAATTTTTTTCAGAGGATAAGGATGATGAGAGGTGAAATTAAAAACAAAAAAAATCTGGTACTAATCGGTGATCTGTTGATAATTTACTTCTGATTCTACTTTTCTCAAAACTTGTAAAAGTGTCTACATTAAAGATGAGATCTACAACTTTTTTTCAAATTAAATGAGCATCACTAAGCCTTCTTCTCCGTTTTTTAGGGGAGGCTTGAGCCTCCCCAAGCCTAATGGGTCCGCCGCCTATGGACACTATTATGGTATGATATTTGTAACAGTTCATCGGACTGAATTTACAAAAACAAAAAAGGTTATGAATAAATATGTGAGAAAAAAGTGACATGAATATTTCAAATTCTCTAACCTGTACACTGTAATTTTTTTTTAAATTCTATTTTGAAGAAAATCGATATTGAGTAAGCTAAAGGATTTTATAAGTCTTATGATTTATTCATCGAATTTCGAATATGTTGAAAATGCTGGATTTTCTAATTCTAAGAATTTCGGTTTTATTTCCTATGTTAAATCGAAGCTAGAATATCATTTGCTTATTTTCAAAAAGCTGGAAATTCATTGTTGAATTCATATGGACATTCCTTAAATATCCTTCCAGAATTCATATAGGCATTCCCTTTTTTTACAGTGTATATCTTACATAAATACTAACTGACTTATACAAGAATTTGCATCTTAAATTGAGAAGCGTTGTTTTTAATATATGTTTAACGAGAGTGATTTAATATTATCTTCTATTTCTGTATTGATATTTTCATTATCATTATTATATTCTTTTGTATTCTTTTTATTAATTCATAGATGCTTTTAGCAAACAATTGTTAATAAGCGTATCGCAGTATCGATGAGTACGTGAAATAACAAGACTGAACTTCAGATTTTATGATCGCTACTTTGCTGTATGCAGTGAACAGATCATCAATTTTTGTGTGTAAAAAAAAATGTGTTTGACTATTTCGAATTAGTTTCTCGTATAGACTGACAATCAAACACTAAATATTTCTCAGAATGTAAACTTTACTAGGGGTGGTGCATTAGCATTAGTATTAGCATTATATTAATGCTAACACCAATATTCTTGTTTTGCGTTCCTAAGAAAAAGTATTTGAATTTGTATTGATTAATGTACGGTTAGACGCAGACAACAGCCCTGATTAATTCCAATACTTTTATGTTACAATTTTAATATAAAAGTATTGTAGCTGATATAAATTAATACTATATTAAGCATTAACTTATTATTAGTTACAATGTTTTTATATTAAAATTGTAACACAAAAGTAATGGAGTTAATCAGGGCTGTTGACTGCGTCTAACCTTACATTAATCAGTACAAATTCAAATACTTTTTCTTATGAACGGAAAACAAGAATATTGGTGTTAGCATTAATTTAATGCTAATACTAATGCTAATGCACCACCCCTAAATGTAAACTTAACAGTGTAACGACAAACTGGATTGAATAGCTTTTCGCCATTCTCGGCAATGATGTTTATTCAGCTATTTCACATATCCAGAGTGTAACAACTTCATACATAATACGCATATGTATAGGAGAGAGATAGAAGAGAGACAGGAGAGAGATATATTAGAACAACGGCAAGAGAACAGACAGAGAAGGAAGGAGAATCATCGAATCGTGTCATCAATATCAGCACAGACAGGAGAGTGATATATTAGAACAACGGAAAGAGAACAGACAGAGAAGAAAGGAGAATCATCGAACCGTGTCATCAATATCGGCACAAACAGTAAAAGGTAGTTTAGTTGAATTAGATTTCATTTTTTTTCTTTTTTGAAATGTGAAGATGATATTTTGTAATTAGGGTGAAATTCCGAATCGAGTGATGTACCTACTGCAATAAGTGAAGACAAAAAGTTTTCGATCAATACTAGAGAGAGATATAGGATCGCAATATTGAGTCTTACAAAATGTTTCTTATGATTAACTGGCTAAGTCTAGGCGATTTTTATGTCACAATAATAAGAGATCATATCCACACTCATGCTTTATGTATTTTCTCGAGTCCATAAATATTTCAGAACCAAAATTCTACAAGGTCGTGATGAGCTGTGGGTGTAACATTCATCAGACACCCAGACTTCATCCTCGCACTCCACACCTACACCTTTTTTTATGTTTTCTTTAAAATATTTTTATTAGTCTTCATGAGATTATGATTCTGATGGTAGTTCTATACTTATTTTATAACTATACACAATAAATATTGAGATAGATGAAGTACAACGTGGACGACAACTGAAAAGAGGATTGAAAAAAAAAGCAGACTCTATTTTTTTTCTTTCTGTGAGAACAACGTAAACTGACGGAGAAAAAATACACATTATGATGGTTAGGGTCACAAAAAAAACATTGTCGTTCTGCGCAGAAGAAAAAAATATGCCATGAATCGAACCAAATAACTTTATATATACTTAGGGGTATCCAAAAGTAGTGGCAAGGACATTTTAGTACCACTTAGTAAGCTTGATAAAAGTTTCTTTTTACACAGGATGATAGAGAAAAAAATGCTCTTTCTTTCTATGCTATTTGATCATACTTCACATAATATAATGGTAATAAATTTCTAGTAAGATTCGTTTCTTTATCATTCGTGATCGTTATACTGGCTTATAACGGGTAAGACAGGTTAATTTTCCGTCCCTTAATACATTGCATCAATGATCGAAACGTACCATCAGATGCAGCATGAAAAGCTTTACAATCTACATAAGAGCACTTATTCCATAGTTGTACTTTTTGTTTTCAAAATGGACAAAACTTTGAGAGATCAGATTTTGAGCATTGCAAAAATTGATCGCATAGAAATGTGCTCTTTTTGAAAGCAATTACAATCAGTTTTACTGTGAAGATTGTACAGCTTTTCACGCTGCATCTTGTGTGTGTTTTACTTTTCTTCTGATAAAGCATTTTCGTAATGGGACGATGACATAACAAAAAATGAATTCGTTATGTATCAAAAAAGTTATCTTTTCCCCATGATAGACGCTTGATCGCTAAAAATTTGTCCATTCTAAACAAATAAAGTGCAACTATAAAATATGTAGTCATATGTAGATTGTAGAGCTTTTCACGCTGCATCTTTTAGTATATTCTGCTTCTTAATAGCGTACATAGAAAAATTGAAAACTGCAATGCAACCTTATAACGATCACGAATGATAACAAAACGAATCTTACTGGAAACGATGGGGGTGAATATTCTAGCAAAATAGGCCTTATTTGAAAATTTTTCGAAAAACCCCACTAATTTTATATTGTTAGAAAGATATTAAATTCTAGTATTTATCTGTATAAAATTTTTTAACAAGG